GTCATCCCGCTGATTCTGGCTCGTGTTGATCTCCATGGTGGCCAAGTTCCCGGCTGGGGGTGCTGGTGCGCGGTTAGGGTCGGTGCCAGGAAGCGCTGTATGGAGCTGGATTTAAAATGGTGGCGGGAGACTCACAGCTCTTAAAACAGTGCTTGGTGTGCACAGAGGAAGTTCACACACTGGCCTTTAATTCCATTGCCTTTCCCAGACCTTACTTTAGGAAATGGAATGCTGTGTGTTCCTTACCCATCTCAATACACCCCTTTAAGTCCAAACTAAGTCCTCTCTACCATCACGGATGCCCATTTAGAGAAGTGAAGATAAAAGCAATGACCACATAAAACTTTATTCCTTGTTTTCTCATATTTAGTACACATACTTGAAACAACTTTACCCTTGATTAGGTGGCAAAGGAGCTATCATTTTCTACGTGTTTCCTCTCTCCACCCAGAGGTAATGTGAATGAAGGAGCATTCCATGGCATGTTCCCTAGCACTTGACACAGGTGTTCTGTGCATGGTGAGCACTAAAGTTTCTTGTAATCAATGTTTTCCAGAATGCAAAATCTCATGGCATTTAACTTTTCTTAAAATGACACATTTCAATGATTCCAAATATTTCTACCCACATATAGGTAAGTAAAGTAAAAGCCCAACAAGTTGTTTACAAGTTTTGTATTGTGTCTAACTGTCTTCAGATACAAGAGCGTAAGTGAAAAATATCTCTACCTCTGCCTCCCCAAACATCACAGACCAATTCTTGCTAATATATCATGAAGTTAAAACATATTTCCCTTTCTGAATTATACAGTTAATTCTAGACACTAACTTCTAAATTTTGTAACTTACTAATCTAGTAGGGCATGAATACTTCCAGTGCTTTTCAACTTGTCCCTGAATTTTTCTCTCTTCAAAGTTCCAGGCAGTAACTGATTTTAAATGCCCTCAAATTGGATAAAGCTGACTACTTAGAGCTTATAAATTACATGCACTATAAATATATCCTTCAAACTAGCACCATGAAGAGAATTCTCAATACTAATTGATGAGCTAATTAATCCAACAATCAAATGTATAACAGTGATAGTCTTTTTTGATTTTTTTTTGAGAGGACATTTATTAAAGCTGGGGACAGTGAAACAAGGAAGGGCTTGGGAGAGAAGCAGCAACAGGAGAGCCTAGGCAAAGCTGCTGCTGGCTCACTGGGAGGTAAGAATCACAGAGACCGAAGTGAGCCAAGAAGGAGCTGCTGCTGACTTAACTGAAAAGTCAGAGAAAAGGGGGCTTTGGAGACAGGTTTGGGGATTAGCCCGGGATGAGCTGCAGCTGCCCATTGCTCCTCTGGTTGCAAGTCTCATAGGGGCGGTTAGAGTTTACAAGAGGCACACCTGAGAGGGAAGAAGGCGTGGGCGTGCTCCTGAAAGGGAAAGCCCTGGCAATGATAGTCTTAAAAACACTAATCTGTTATTCTTCTTATATACAACTCAAATTCCCTCCGGTATTACATATTTTTTCTTTCTGGCAATGTTCTCTGCTACCTTGTCTATCCCAAATAATTATATAGCTAGCTGTCCACTTCTTGGTTGATGCTCATAACATTTCCCTAGGTCATTAGTAATGAGTGCTAAGGCATTAAACTTAAAAGGCTCTAGGCTGGTTTAAATATGGTGAAATACTGTTAAAACAGAATTGTACTGCTTTTATTTTCTACCTTCATGCCTCTCCATGAACCAGTCAATGGTTCCTGTAAGATTGTCCTGCAAAATTTGAATTCTGGGCCTTTTACTTCTGAATGGCTTGAGTACCATAAAACATAACTTATTTGGTAGCAAAAACATTTCCAGGAGTTTCAAAAGGAACCACTACTCAGCTCAAAAAGTTACAACTATTATTTTTCTTTAAACTTGGAACATGCAGCATTGATTATAAGGAAAAATACAACCCTATCCTTCCGCCTGTAAATAAAAAGGACACAGTAAGTTGAGCTGTGTGCTTTTTCAGAGGCACTACACAAAGTCCTGATCTTAGAGGTTGAAGTGGACAAGAACACTGCTTCAGTGATATGTAATGTTCAACATATGCCACATTACTTAGCATTTATGCACTTAATCTTCACACATAACCAGTTCAGATATCAAAACAATCCTGATTCTAAGAGAGAATTCCACCAACATTTAAAGCTGTTTCTTCCCAGGACAATAGATTATCAAAGTGGTATTCTCTTATGCTAAGCTTTGTCAAGGCTCAGAAATGTGAGGTGAACTTTGCAAAGTCCTTGTAAAGAAATCTTCAATAAGAAACTCAACGTATGGGAATTTTAAAGCTTCAAGACTGGCTCGTTAAACATAAATACCACAGGCTTTCTCAGAGCACCGAGTCTAGTGATTGTCAGTGTCAAGGAGGCACATACACAATTTTACTCAAACTCCTGAGGTCTCTTCTCTGTATGGAAAATGCAGTCAGTCTGACAAAGGGCCTCACAACATTTTGCCAGGCCTAGCTCTTCTAAAGAGCGCAGGGAATACCCAAGGTAATCTACAGATTCAATGCAATCCCTTTTAAAATACCAACGGCATATTTCACAGAGCTAGAACAAATACTCCAAAAATTTATATGGAATCAAAAAAGACCCCAAATAGTTGCAGCAATTTCAAGAAAGAAAAATAAAGGTGGAGGAATCACAATAGCAGATTTCAAGTTATACTACAAAGCCACTGTAATCAGAACAGCCTGGTAATGGCACAAGAACAGGTATATAGATCAATGGAACAGAACAGAGACCCCAGAAATCGACCCAAGCCATTATACTCAATTAATATTTGATAAAGGAGGCAAGAGCATACAATGGAGTCAGGACAGTCTCTTCAATAAATGGTGTTGGGAAAACTGGACAGATACGTGCAAAAAAAATGGAACTAGACCACCAACTTACACCATACACAAGAATAAACTCAAAATGGATAAAAGACTTAAATGTAAGTCGTGAAACCATAAAAATCCTAAAAGAAACCACAGGCAGCAAAATCTCAGACATCTCTCATGGCAATAGGTTTACAGATACATCTCCTAGGGCAAAGGAAACTAAGGACAAAATAAACAAATGGGACTACATCAAAATAAAAAGCTTCTGCACAGCAAGAGAAACCATCAACAAAACGAAAAGGGAGTCCACTGTATGGGAGAACATATTTGGCAATGATACATCTGATAAAGGATTAATAACCAAAATATATAAGGAACTCATACAACTTAACAAAAGGAAGACAATCCAATTAAAAAATGGGCAAAGAATCTAAATAGACACTTCTCCAAAGAGGACATACAGATGGCAAAGAGACATATGAAAAAATGCTCAAAGTCACTACTCATCTGAGAGATGCAAATCAAAACGACAATGAGGTACCATTTTACGCCTGTCAGAATGGCTATCATCAACAAATCAACAAATGACAAGTACTGGCGAGGATGTGGAGAAAAGGGAACCCTCATACACTGCTGGTGGGAATGCAGACTGGTGTAACCATTATGGAAAACAATATGGAGTTTCCTCAAAAAGTTAAATATGCCATTTAACACAGTGATCACACTTCTAGGAATATATCCTAAGAAACCTGAAGCACCAATCAGAAAAGATGTATGCACCCCTATGTTCAATTTACAATAGCTAAGATCTGGAAACAGCCCAATTTACAAATACCTAAGATCTGGAAACAGCCCGAGTGCCCATCAGTAGATGAGTGGATAAAAAAGCTATGGTACATTTACACCATGGAATACTATGCAACAGTAAGAAAGAAGAATCTCATAAAACAAAATTAAAAAATAAAAAATAAAATAAATAAAAAAAGAAAAACAAAGAAAGAAGAATCTCTTATCCTTTGAGACAGCATGGAGGGACCTGGAGAGTATCATACTCTCCATAAGTGAAATAAGTCAGTCAGAGAAAGACAAGTATCACATGATTGCACTCATATGTGGAATCTAAGTAACAAAACAACAACAACAAAGTTTGAAGACCATTGATCTTGACCACATATTTCCTCAGTATACTTACAATCTGGTCCAGGTACTGAGGAACACTACCATTTCACACATAAAAACAAGGCTGACATGCAAAATAAAATGTCCGTGGTCACTGCTCTTTAGACCCTGGATGTTCAGCAAATGCTAACAAATGAGAACCGAGTAAACCGTTTTTCCTAAGCTATTCTTTTATCTCTAAAGACACTGAATGTAGCTATGTCTATCACACTGTGTGTTTCAGGAAAACAATAATATAAAATACAGCTTTTAAGATAAATAAACGTGCCACAAGAAAAAAAAAAAAAAAAAGAGCACAGAGATGCTAAGGGAAAGCACTAGGGAAAAATTAATGTAAATGTATTGGTAAGTGCATCTCTGGGGGAAAAATAAACCTCTACAAGGCAATGGCTGTCCCAACTAAGGATTTAAATGAGTTTGGAATCCAGTAATGGTTAGCTAAGTGTTTACCTTTAAAGGTAAAGAAAAGTCCAAACCCTGAAACAAAGAGTAAAAGAAGCTCATAGGAGAACCCTTCATTACATTTTACATGCTTCTGTTTGTTCTCACCCATCCTAGTACATTTCTTAGAAAAGCCAGGTGCATACTGGGAACACTGTTCTGACCCAACTGTTTTTCTAGCCAAGTTCCTGTAAATATATGGCCTACTTCCCCAAATCTCATCACTCCATGATCTGCAACAGGAGTCAGTTCCACAGCTATTTGCTGAACTTCAGCACCGGTCTCTTTAGCACTGGTTTCCCTATATGATTTTTGTTCTGTTTCCAGGAAGCACAGTGTGAATAGAAAAGACGGAGGTCCTTCTCTGAGACAGTCCCAGGAAACTGAAGTGAAAAGATAATGTGGAGTAGTGCATGGCAAAAAATTCCTCTTATGAGCTTAGTCCAACACATGGTATACATATTCCCCTGGATATAAACAATTTACATTAATTAATTAATCAGCAACAGAACCCAAAACTATGGAAAATCAAATTCTAATGTGACAATTTAAAAGCAGAAAGTGCTCCACTGGGTTAATAAATCAGAATTAGCTAAGAGACAATATATTAAATACCACATCATTGAAAACTCCTAGTAGGCATGTCCCCTTCATCAGTTACTTTACAAATAACGGTCATAACAGGAGAGAGAGCAAGCACCATGCTCACTAATGCAGGTTACTGGACTGCTTTGATTAAGCACTGCAGTTCACACGTAAACACTTCACAACTTCAAGTTACTGAATCTTTCTTCTTCCGGAATGGCGATTTTAGCCTCTTCCATACACTGTTTTTGGGTTTAGATTTTTTCTCCATGGCCAGTACTGCCTCCTTTTCTTTCCTACGTATCTCCCGGACGAGGGCATGGAATACATCATCAATGTAGTAGCGGTATGCAGCAGATGTCTCAAAAAAGGGACAGCTGAATTCTCGGGCCAAAGCCAATCCTTCTTCCTTAGTGACCTTTAAAAATGTAAACAGAGAAAATGTGTAGTAGTACAAGTGGAAAACAATTACAACTACCCCAAATGAAGGAGCTACCTTAACAGGAAGAGAGCTCCTCAACTCCGGAGGTATTCAAGCAGAGTGCAGTGATTTTCGTAATGTTGGGAGGCTAAATTACATGAGTTCTGATTCCTTCTGCCTTCAAATTAGGTAAATCTATTTCTACTCCATTTTAAAGATAACCCTTTGCAACAGGCAACAGTTATAGATATCAAAAGTGCAATCTGCATTTTCTTCATACTTTTCATTTTAAGAATGTAAAACACGAGGCAAACAGATGTATATTTAAACTACAATACTGAAAACTGTAAGGAACCCAAAATTGATATACTTGATTATGGATATACCATAATTTCTCCTACTTTTGGGTATTTAGGCTTTTTCTAATTTTTGCTACCATAAATAGCCTGGCAATAAACACTTTACATACAAATCTCTGAATAAATTTTTCAAAGTTAAACTACTAGTACTTCCAACAATTTGTACCATTCATTGTGTCCAGTAGTAGCCATCTGATTACTATCCTGTGGATTTTGTCCTGTAAACTGATTCCTGAAATCCAGACATTGATCCCAAATGATAGCAAATTAGTATATAACAGGAAATTTTCAAGGTTAGGGAGAAGCTAGTTTTTAATTTTTACTTTCAGACAGAGGAATCTGTAAACAGAAAAACAAAAATGACTAATCCCATTAGGTTTCAGACAGCATTTTCAACTCTGTCCTCACCTGTCTTAGCTGCTTTAGATCAGACTTGTTTCCTACAAGAACCACAGGCGTATCATCAGTACGTCGAACTCGATAAATAAGCTGTTTAAACTCCCGAACTTCATGAAAACTTCGACGATCGGTGATAGAGTAACAGATGATAAACCCTTCTCCTGCCCTCATATACTGATCTCGCATGGCTGTAAACTCTGCCTAGAGGGAAACAAGGGTCATTAATGTAATGATGCAACCTAGAACCACATATATATTAGCTATTTATTTCAGATTAAGGAAGAGATATATCAATTACCTGCTATCCTGAGTGAGAGTGCATGAAAAATTAAAAGACATGAACTAGTGATATTCTCTGCATAAGCCTTCCCCCCTCCTTTACTAGAGTGAAAATGTCTTATTCATAGCATTCTGGTATTAGATACCTGTCCAGCTGTATCCAAAATATCCAGATTGGCAGGCTCATCATCAATACGGATCCGGATTTTATAAGCATCTTCTACAGAAAGGAAGAAAGGTGTACTGTGACCCCATAAACACAGGAATATGCAACCCTACTTTAAAATCCATCGTATGGAAAAGCAGATTACATAAGTTCTTTAAGTGTCCACATTTTCTCTGGCAGTATGCTAAGTCTATTGAGATTCATAAAGTGGGTCTTCAACTAAATTTATTTTTTCACTTAAGCAGTGATGTAAGTTTATTCATGGCTTAAGTTTATAAGATCTCATCTACAATTCTAAGTTAAAAAGGATTCTGAGATCATTTAAACAAAATATTAGATCAAAAAGTAACTTTACCACTTATTAAATGCAGGCATTACATTAAGTAATTTATATACATTAACTCATTCTATAATAATCCAACGAGGTATTATTATCTCCATTTTATAGATTTAAAAAGTTAAACTCTAAAAATTAAATCTCCCTACATTAAACATTAATTAATGATATAGCCAGAATTAAAACGCAGGGCTGGCTTGACTTAAAAGCCATATACTATAGTTCCTCCTCATTTTAATATTATAGAAAAGAAAAAATTCTAAATAATCCAGTGTCACTGATTTCTCCTTTATGGAAGCAAATTTTTTAATGCATATTATTACAGTAACCTTGGAAAATACAGGAAATTTAAAAAGAGAGAAAAAATACTTAATATGTTCACCAAACAATTGCTGCTTATATCCCAATGTATTTTCTTATCAAAATTTTTTCTTGAACCCCTGCTGACTCTCCCTCAAAAGTGAAGAGCCGACTAAATCCATATTTCTCAAACTACAGGACATGATCCATTAGGATTAGTGAATTATGAATGAATTTAATGAGTTGGGACCAGCATTAAAATAAACAAGCAAAAACCTTAAATAAAAGAGAAAATACCAGACTGTACCACATATAGTGAGGTAAGTACGGTTTCATGAATTTTAATTACACGTGCATTTGGGTACACACACACACACATACTTAATATGTGTACTAGTTACTAGCAGCCACCGTTTAAAACAAAATGTACTCAGTGGGAACAGACACCATATCTTTCTGCTCACCCTCTCTACTCCCAGGGCCTACCACATTGCTGGGACATAACAGGAACTCAAGTGACATCGTATTTACTGGTGAATCAGTTAATATTGTCAAGAAAGTCTCTGATTGAAAAAAAGAACAATCAATGGGGGGAATTCTTTCAGAATTCTAATTACCCCAATCCCTAACTCGGTTTTATTCCTAGAATTTCCATCAGAGTTTGAACCTCTGAACAATGTTCTAACTTTAATGCAGTGCCCGGAAAAGCAAGCACTGTTTCCATTTCCCTCACTCACAACAGTTACCTGCTATGCGAGATGACCACAACCAAAGCCGGGTTAGCACAGGCACTCCGTGGCTTTGTGGAGAACAGGGCAGCAGAGGCCTGCCTCAATCGAAATCCTTCCTGGAGACCCAGGACCATGACTAAGTGTCACATCCTGAAAACACGAGCAGCAGGGCAGACCTGTGCTCTCCCCTACCCTGGCCCCTTTCATCCTGAGATATAACCCTTAGATCCCATCTGTCTCCTTATGGTTTATGAACAGTAATATTCTTAGTCTTTGTAGAGAAAGGGAAATCTTTTTAAAAGGTGAAATAGTACTTTTTATTCTAAGAGCATTTTGCCAATAGAGCATTAAGGATTACAAAAGGCATGAGGAAGACCTTACTGTTTAGTGAACTTGAGCTACAAGGAAGTAAGTGAGGAGCTTGCAAGTGGAAGTCCAGGCCCTGGAGAGCTGGACTGGAAGCGTTCAGCAGGCTGGCCCTACTTGTTTTTCTGCTTCCTTTTGTGGAAGTTCAAACCAGCTGACTCATAGTCAGAGAGTCAGCCTCAAGTCAGACCCTTAGAGAACTGACAGCAAAAGGTTAAGTGGCCTTTAAACTTTTCCTTTAATCCAGCAATACAGTAGAGCCATAAAAATAGGACAAAGAAAGTGTCCCATTCATGTCCAATAAAAGACGGAGCCTAACAATGGCTCATATCCAAACAGAGTTAAGCGAGGAAAAGAAAAATGCATCTGCTCACCCACCGCTCCGCTCCTCTTCTTAAATCAATCTGAATTAGACACCAAAAGAGGCTCAAACTATAGTTAAAAACTGTTTTAAAGACGGACACCTGCGGGGCAGTCCGACTTACCGATGGTGGGGTCATGATCTTCCGGGAACCGGTGGCTGATGAACTGCATGGTCATGGCTTCGAAAGAAGAAAGTGAAGTTAGAACTCACCCCGGGTGACCGGCCAGAGAGACTCTAAGCGCCGCCGGCCTGACAGCCCGGCTCCCATCGGGCTCGCGCGGGGGGCCGTGTTTAAGAAATGCCCCCCCCTCGCTCTCCCACAACCGGAGGGCGGGAATGCACCTACCGCTCTTCCCCACGCCGCCGGCGCCCAGCATCACGAGCTTGTACTCCCGGGAGAGCCCGGCGGCGCCACCGCAGCTCCCGGCGGGGCGCGCTCCGGGCTCCATCGTCCTCGCGGAGCCCCCGGCCGCCACGGAAGGCACCTGCAGACAAAGCAGCGGGGAGATGCCGGTACCCTCCCGGGACACTTCCCATTGGTTTCAGGGAGCGCGCAAGGGCGGGGGGGGGACGGGAACTCCGGAAGGGGAGACACGGCCATCGGTTGCCCCGGACGGGACCCTGGACGGGAATCGAACCGGGACCCTTCGGTCCCGGCGACGCTGACGCTGAGCCGAAGCAGCCGGGACCGGAGGAGGAAAGCACTTCGCCCAGGACGGCGACCTCCGACGACAGTCCGCGGCGGCGCCGGCCTACCGGGCTCGGGCCCGCCCCCCGCTCCCCGCGGAGTGTCCCGGGGCCTGGGGCAACCCCCCTCACCTTCCCTCCAGGGCCCACCCCTGACACAAAACAGTTTTCCAAAAGGAAAAGACGAGGCACAAAGGAAGTGAGACTCTCTTCAGACCGAGATCCGCGCAGGAGGGAGGAGACGCCGGGCGCTGAAGTCGAGGTTCGGGGACCAGAGGCAGAGCCGCTCGGCCGCCGCCAGGCCCCCCGCCGCCAGGCCCCCCGCCCCCCCGCCACGAAGAACCGGCCGCTGTACCTTTCGGTGGGCGAGGACCGCGGTGGGTGAGCGCCCTCGGTCCTGCGGTCCCGCACTCGCAACGACGCTCCGGCACTGACCCGCGACCCCTCCCGCCGCCGGGAAGATGGCGCCAGCGGCGCGGACGGCGCCGTGACGTAGCAGCCCCGCCCCCTCCGGCCGCCGGGCCTCTAACCCAGTTCCTGCCACTCGCCGCCGAAGGCCCTGGGGTAGAGCATCACACGCCGAGCAAGCAAATGTGCTGAAATCACTATTTACTCAAGTCAGAAAGGAGGACGGCATGCAGCAGGCAGCCCATTGACGGTTCTCATAGATGTTTCTAAGATCAATCAAAACGTATTTCAGAAAGAAATAGAGGATGCGGTAAGGAAAGTACTCAGGGTTGTCCGCTGCTTGCGGTAAACTAATTCGGCCAAATGTAAGGGTTAACAGGAAATGGTACCCACCAAGTCCTCCCCCAAAGCAGGACTGGAGAGTTTACTGCCCAAGAACAGAAAAAGCAAATTTCCCCAAAGAATAGCTATGACTTTGGGCTTTTGAAAACAGTGGATCAAGTCTCAAAGATCAGATGTTCTAGTTAAGCAACTTTCAACCTTTTTGACTCATGGTACACGTAATTACTAAAATTCTGTGGCACACCAAAAGCTTTTTGCTAATCTGACAAAATAGGTATTTTTTCATTCACATCAGATGGCTGTTGTGTTGGCTCTTGTCATTTTGACAATCTAAGGCAAAAGAGGTCAGTGCCCCTGACAAGTCAGGTATTGCACATTTAAAAAGTTCTTGCAGCACACCAGTTGAAAACCAGTTCTAGTTAACTGGAGTTCCGTATTTATTTTTACAGAGAGGAAGGGACATAGAGAAACACGGATTTACTGTTTCACTTATCTAATCTATGCATTCATTGGCTGATTCTTGTATGTGCCCTGACTAGAGACTGAACCCACAACTTTGGCGTATCTGGACAATATTCTGTTTTCCAGAACATTCTATATGTTCTATATTTTAAACATATATAACTAAAATCTATTAAGATAATTTTTGTTTTGTTGTACACAAACTACCCTCCAACAGGAAATAAAATTAGAATTTTCAGGTGGCCTTGAATTAAACATGGAAATAAATGAAGACTTTATCATTATATTCCTCTATTTAGGTACCGGTACCTGAAGGAACTTAACACCAGGAACTCTGTTGAAACTTCTGCCCATCCTACTTCCTTTTTGAGAGTGTTTTTCCAATAATTTGCATTTCCGTTAAAAGTGTTTCATTCATCAAGTCCCTTTAACCATGAGAGCTAAAACACTGACACTTTTCATCTGAACTTCTAATGGTTTACTTTGGAAAGTCAAAACTCTGAACTATATGCAAGCTTTTGGGTCCATGTATGTATTTTTCTGGAGGTGTTAGAAAGTCATTGTGCTATGAGTAAACAAGTTTATGAATTTTAATGTCTGGATGGGTTATGGAGTTAAAAACAGAGATACCACAAGCAGAATATTTATATATACATTTATTTATAATGACATTATGGTCTAAATATTTACAACATATAGGAAACCAGAGGATACGTTTATACAAAGCCAGCCTGCAAAGTATTCAAATGTGCAAAAATGACAGTTCAGTATCTCAAACTACTGATTCAGCAGACTAGCTCCTTCACTTTCACACATTAATATTGATACAAAAAAGTTCTTTTGGTAAAACCTGTAATGCCAAGAAAAAGGACAAGTTGCCATTTCAGTCACTAAGTCCACCATCCTATTGGGAGCAGTCAAGTCTCTCTATTTTAGCTGCAACAGTTCTGAGAGACAGACCACTGTGTTTCATTTCTATGATAAATTCTGGCCAGCTTTTGATCAAGTAGTTTTCTGACCCAGTTGAAGACAAGAGCTTAGAAGAGCAATAAAAACAGCAATGGCTATCTGAGACAAGTGTGCCTGAAGGTGCCAGCTTTGGATCATTCCCCAAAAAAGACACAATAAAAAAAATAACTTCATTTTCTTACCCAGGATCCAGCTATACCTGACAATTTTAAACTAGTGAAACAGCACTTGCCAAAATAGAAAGAACCCAAAAATGGAATAGGAGTGAGGAATCTGTAGATTTAGTACTGAAAGGAAAAGATGGTCTTAAAATCATTTCCCTACTAATAAATAGTAAGGCTTGGTTTGTAACAAGTTATTATCAAAATTGACCAAACAGTAGTAAAATACAAATAAAACTGTCTACATCAGAATAGGGGTTCTTCATTTGGAAAGGCCAGACCAGGTCAAATGTATACAGGAATGACCCCAATGGAATGCTGCGTTGAACAGCACATTTCACCGAGTGTTAAATAAAAAAGCTTCTGAGACAAATTTGTGATCCCACATAAATTTTAAGAGATGCTATGCCACTGAGGAAAAAAGGATATTTTAAAAAGAATGAAAGCCTTTTAAGAAAGGAGACACTGCACCTCTAACTTCTGCCAAGGTCCACGATGGTTCCCAGTACAGGCCAAAGTCTTGTTAAGTCAAATGCATGCATTATTGCTAAAGAAGAGTCACCGAGGGTCAAAAAAGTCTGTTCCGCTGTTTCCTACGGGGCCATCCAGAATGGCATCTGTTGTTTAGCTCGTGGTTGTGACGACGGGAACTGATATCCCAAACTCCAGCCCTGTGGAAAGCTACCTGCATTTTTATGACCCCCGTGCTCCTCCTCTTCGTCAGATGAGTCTGCAGCATAAGCCACCAAGCCAAATCCCTTCTCTGTGGTTTTCATCTTCTTGACTGGATAATCTAGAATAGAGAAAAACAACCCAAACCCCATTCCCCGCCGAGAAAAAAGATAATACCATAAATTCGTTAATTAAAAAAAAAAGATGTTAATTTTAAGTGGTTAGTTGGACGCCATTTTGAGGTCACAGGGTCAGTGGTCACCCAAATGCGTTGAAGGTCACACGAAAAACAGCGCCAGGATCAGCAAATGTGAATCCACAGAACCATGTAAGAAAACAGAGAAAGAAAAAAGAAACACACACACACAAAAAAAAAAAAAGAAAAAAAAAAGAAAAAAGGAAAGTTAGCAAGGGCATCTTTTGAGGCCGATACTTCACCTTTTAAAGAGTTTAAAGAAAAGAAAAAAATATTAATTTTCTTCTGTTCATTTTTATTATGACTAAAGGGAAGGAACAAAAATGTTCCCATGTACCTCTACAGGATTTAAGAGTTCTGGGATACTAAGAAGCAACATTTTTTTTATAATAGCCACAGGCTGACCATTCCCAACCAACAGAGCTATGAGAGGAGACATGGCTCAGTTCCCAATACAAAAATATCGATCTTTAATTCTGTTTCAGATTACCTCCAAGTATTTAGATAACAAGGCAACAAAATTTTGAAATGACCTACCAATCATTAGTATTTCCTAGGGTTTTAATGTCACTGATGTTATGTATAAAATATAAGTCGACTGACTCTTTTCTAGACACACGTCGGTTGAAAATAAAATGCTGTGTAACTATATGCTGTCCGTATGAATAAAAAGAAAAGTTTTTTCATTAGATTATAGAGGTTGGATTAAACACCTAAATGTATCGCACCTGAATGAACATCAGGTTAGAAAATTAACAGTTTAGTACCAGTCTTAGCCACTCCCTTAGTCCCCCCGTTATACCTTACTCACCATGGCTTCCTGTTAAGGTCCCAGACCCATTCCTTTCATCAGACTCTGTTTTTATTCCAGTCACTGGAAAGGCTGGTGGAGGCATCAACTGCCTGTTAAAAAAGAAACACTCTTTCAGACAAATTCAATCAATTTTAAATTCTCCTATAGATAAGCAGGGGAATAACAATACAGTCTGCAGATAACCTTTCAAGTTCACATTAATTTCAACCTTCAAGCTGTTTTCAAGTTGTAAGATTATGAGGCTTTGTCTACATCGCCAGGCCATGCCAAAAACAGGAGGACTGTTATGGGAAGTGAGCGCCCTCGTATGAAGGTTACTAATGACATAGGGAGAATCCAGGCACTAGATGGCAGGCCTGACTCCCGTTCAAGTACCTCCATCCATGATACTCGATTCTAAGTAGCAAAATGGCTTGATTGTGTCACTACTATCTACCCTTTTTAAAAAAATGGCCAAGATACAGGTACAATGAAAGTAAAGGAAGATGACTAAATAAGCAAGCATGGAATTATTCAAAGCTAAGTATAGCTGCCTCTAAGACTGGGGAAGTTATATCATTGTATTTTCCATTACTGCATCAACTACAACAGGAACTTGTTTGCCCAAGTGATTTCATTTCAGTATTAGAACATGGGAACTTGTAGCAATGATCATTATTTACACTAATGGTACAAATGACATATGAATACCTATACTAATAAAAGGGTAATATGGTAATTAGACCCGGAGACCTTCCGGACGAAGCCATGGTGGCAGGGCCAAGGCAGAGGCGGTTAGGAGTGATCAGGCCAGGAGGGGAGGGCAGTTGGGGGTTAGCAGGCCCACAATGGGGGGCAGTTGGGAGCGATCAGGCCGGTGGGGTGGGGACAGTTGGGGGCAAGCAGGCTGTTGAAAGGCGATCAGGCCAGCAGGGGGGGCAGTTGGGGGTGAGAAGGCCAATGGTGGTGGTGGGGGCAGTTGGTGGTGAGCAGGCCGGCAGGCAGTGGTTAGGGGAGATCAGGCAGGCAGGCAGGCGAGCAGTTAGGAGCCAGCAGCCCCAGATTTCAAGAGGGGTATCCGACTGTGGGATCAGGCCTAAACCAGCAGTCAGACATCCCCTGAGGGGTCCCAGATTGGAGAGGGTGCAGGCCCACCCCACCCCCGTGCACAAGTTTCATGCACTGGGCCACTAGTATTCATATAATTACGTTCCAACTAACTTACCTGTCCCTCTCTCGCTCTTTGCCTGAGGAACTTGCCGCCTTCGATCCTGCACCTTCAATCTCATTCTGACTGGAGAAGCCTGTACCTAAATTAGTCATATGAATGGGTCCATGCTATGAGCAGAAAAATACAGTGGCATTAGCAAATCTACAACAGCTGTATTGACTTTAGCTCCTTAATGTAACTGTCAAGTGCCTCATCTTTCTGGTAAATTGCAGTAAACTGCACTACATAGCTCCTTGGGATCTGGAGCATAACCATAGTCAAAGTAGAGATTATTTATCTGTTGGGATGGTTAGGGATGTGGTGATTCACTATGTTATGTCTCTGTTTTCAACTACCCATAACTTACACGGTTTGTACAAACCTAGTTATAAGCTATAAAAATATTTCAAAGTTTGTTTCAAAAGAATGCTTCAAGGATTCCAGCAAAAGGTAAAGGTGCTTTTCCTGATAAAACAAAATTGCACCAAACTACATAATCTTAAAGGAAAAAAAACATCCTTAGTGAATGACTGTGTTTATAATTATGTATATGCAGATTCACTGCATTTCTGACACTTTTGGTGGTAGGGGGGCATCGGAGGAAAAAAAAATCACCACCTTTTTTTGGGAGAGAAAGGAAATCAAAAACTGAAACCCAAGGTTTTAAGTATAAACCACATATTGGTAGAATGAGCTTTCAGTGAGATGTGTAGGGAAGTAAGAAGTATTAGAGGCTTGCAAGTGTATGAATAAGAGAAGTCCAGAATTCTACAGAATTCCTTCTAGATGCTAGTCAGAGACTTCTCTAGGTGGAAGGCTTTGTATGCCCAAGGACAAAACCCACTCAGAAGGAATCAACTCTTGCTTTAAATTAATCCCCCAAGGATAAAAACCTAATCTAAGTAGATTCCAGAAAATGGAAATCCTAGTATTGGGAGGACAGTTGATATAGATGTGAATTTATCTTTATTTAAAGGGAGAATACAGAACAAGATTAGGAAAGTAAGACAGGATATTTTATTTAACCTGGTATCCAAGAAGTCCAGATTCTTGTTCATCTGGTAGCTCCTCCGTGAATCTCCTCTTCTGTGCCTGGGTTTGAGTTGGAGTTGGGAGTGGGGGCTGGGGCTGGGGCTGGGGTTGAGGTGGGGGTTGAGGGCCGGCAGGCAAGGCAGGTTTGACAGGAGTAGCAGGAATAAAAGGCCCACTCATCGGACTCTGGGACAAAAACAAACCAAGGGGGGGGGGGGAAAGTGTGAGAATCCCTAACTAATGAAGAAGTAAACAATGAAACAATGATTATAATATACTTTAATGATCAGGGGATAGCACATGAATCTTTCACCTTCTGGCACTTGTTTCCTTCATGTATAATTTTTAAAAATATGTTTTTATTCATTTTAGAGAGAGAGGGAGAGGGATAGAAACACCAATCGGCTGCCTCCTACATGCTCTAACCTGGGGAGCATGCCCAAAACCTGGCATGTGCCCTGACTGGAAATAGATCTGGTACCTCTTAGTTCATGGGTCTACACTCAACCACTGAGCCACACCAGCCGGGCCCTTCATGTATAATTTGCTAACAGTATTACCTAGCCTTCCCACCTTCATGGTAGAGGAACATGAAATTGATAATCTCTACAGCTTTAAACTCTCAGGTAAACCTGTTGTGCATTTGAGCTATTAGGAGCAAACATGACCTTTAACAAACAAAAAACTCCAGCCACTTACTTAGAAGTTACCAAGCAACAACACTCTCTTACTGCCCTCGCTGGTTTTGCTCAGTGGATAGAGCATCGGCATGTGGACCGAAGGGTCTCAGGTTCCATTCTGGTCAAGGGCACATGCTCAGGTTGCGGCAGGCGTGGCTCAGTGGTTGAGCGTCAACCAATTAACCAGGAGGTCATGGTTCGATTCCCAGTCAGGGCACATGCCGGAGTAGCAAGCTTGATCCCCAGCAGATCAATGATTCTCTCTCATCATTGATTCTGTTTCTCTCTCCCCCCCACCCCCTCTTTCCTCTCTGAAATCAATTAAATTATATTTAAAAAAAAAAGGAAACATCAATGATGAGAATCATTGATCAGCTGCCTTCTGCATACCCCCTACTGGAGATTCAGCCCATAACCGGGGCATGTGCCCTTGACAGGAATTGAACCCGGGACCCTTCAGGCTGTAGGCTGATGCTCTCCATGGAGCCAAACCAACCAGGGCAGATTTCTTTCTTTTTTTTTAAGTGAGAGAGGATGGGAAAGGAAGAGGGAAACATAGATAGGCTGCCTCTGGTACCCACCCTGGCCTGGAATCAAACTGGCGACCTTTTGGTACACAAGACACGCTCCAACCAATTGAGCCACACTGGCCAGGGCTACTCCCATTCTATATAGAAAGAAAACCAAAGCCTCGATAGGTTATATTATATCCCAACATCACACAACTCAAACGTGGGAAAGCATAACTATCTCTAAACCCCAACTGTTAATCACTCTGCTATACTGCTTTCTAATTACAACAGAATGTGGCTCAAAGCTGGAGAACTATATAGCTCTGCCTAAATATAAAAGGTAAAATAATTATGACTAGAGACCACAACAGAATTTAGTCCAGAAGTCCTTTGTTGTCTCATACTGTACAACCCTCTTCAGTGCTGACAGCCCACAGGTAAGGAGACTGGGCAATGGTTCGAGGCAGCAATTTACTCTGGCATGGGTACACTATGAGAAGCCCACGGAGAAGGGCCCACCATAAATCCATGACCATGCTCTCTCGTTAGTCTCTCCCCTGCCTCTAAGTATGATGGATATAATGTGTCTAGATGAGCTAACTGCCTACTTCTTTCCTAAAATTCTAGTTTCTTACAGTTTGAGAAATAAATACCAGTACTTATAATCCTTATGTTTGGCAAGTTCCCATATATCTTGGCCTAGGAACACCTGTATATGAGAGTTCTAAGATTAGTAATTCCATTCCAATCATCTAGAGATGTAGTATAGGCCAACCCCTTTCTCCTTGAGCACTTTTAAACTATATAAAGCCAGGTACAGGCATATGATGGCCCACAGTATGGCACACTATGATTCTGGCCTGCTACCTATTTTTGTCAATCAAGTGTGACTGGCATACGGACATGCGTGTTTGTTTGGTATTGTCTGCAGCTACTTTTGCGCAACAACAGCAGGGC